GGGGGACTGTGTCAAAGGCCTTACAGAGGTCCAGAGAGAGACGACATCTAGCCCTTCCCTTGTCCACTGATGTAGTCACTCCATCATAGAAGGCCACTAGGTTAGTCAGGCAGGACTTGCCCTTGGTGAAGCCATGCTGGCTGTCTTGAATCACCTCCCGGTCCTCCATAGGAAGCATAGCTTCTAGGAGGATCTGTTCCATGATCTTCCCAGGCACAGAGGTGAGACTGACAGTCCTGTAGTTCCCAGCGTCCACCTTTTTACCCCTTTTAAAAACGGGTGCAATGTTTCCCTTTTTCCAGTCACCGGGGGCTTTACCTGACTGCCATGACTTTTCAAATACCATGGAGAGTGGCTTGGTAACTACATCAGCCAATTTCCTCAAGACTCTGGGATGCATCTCATCAAGTCCCATTGACTTATGTATGTAATAGATAGCCTTAGTGATGTGTAAATAGGAAAAGAATCTACCTCTGCCACACACCTAACACCTATAAACTATCACACCTAAACTGTATTAAATTGTTGGGGTAAAAGGAGTAAACCCAAATTTTATCACTAATATCAGAAAACGTAGATCTGAGTAGATTTTAAAGGGGAAAATAGACACTTTTACCATTATTTTGCAGAGTACCATTGCCTTTGAATAACCACTGGGATACACAGCCCCATGACTTGCAGCTTCATCTGCTAAATATGTGCAGCAGATGATTTAGTAAGTAAATAATGAGGCATATGTGCATTTCAGATGATGGATTCAATGCCTGCCACATTAGGGCCAGGTAACAGTACATTGACACACACTGCATAAAATTATTATGCCTCCTGTACATAGATCCAAAAGACATAGTAACAATGTATTTATTTGAAGTATGAAAATCCCAATATAGTTCAAAATATACTTTTGTTGCATTCCTAGAAGCTTGTCTAATTAACATGCTTCCTGGAACAGCTTATTAGTTTTGAAAACGAAGTTGATGGTTAACAGAAACATGTATGTATCTTACCTCTTGACTGAGATACTTCACTGTATAATGTCAGAATTGTTTCTTTAAGCTGTCACTACTTAATATGCTTACTTAAATGTTTTGCTTTTTGAGAAAGAGCATGAGCACAGATATAACTTCCCTGAGGCTCCCAAAAGAAAAATATTTTTTCTATTATAGTCCAAAATGTTTTAGTGTAATGCAAACGATGTTGTACAATTGAAAATGCAAGTCAACAAAGGGGCAGTCACAACCTCAGCTCACTTGAAATAAGACTTCTTTAAAGTAGAAAGATGAAAAAATACATTCCTGGAGTTTTGCTTCAAATTACCAAGCAGTAGCAACATATCATAGATCTTTGGCAATGCAAAACTTTGCTTCCCTATCTTAATTTTAGATCTATAAATTACAGTTTATTACCAGGTAAGAATAGTGGGGCCAGGATATTAAGTATTTGGTTAATTAATTCCTATCACTACCTTCATTTGAATTGTTTGGTGAAGAAATTGAAAACTAAAGTTGCAGTGCAAGATAAATTATTCTCTTCATTCAACACACCTAAGTTATTGACTAAGATTTAAAAATTAGAAACCTGCTATCAGACAGATTTATCAGAGGACTAATATGGAGGATCCTGGAAAAAAAATAACACCATCCATTTTCTAACTCACACAGATTTTATTTGCGCTTTTGGGCTCTTTTCCCTTAGTAAAGATGTATCTACTCCATGTAACAGTGATTTGGCACATAGGCTTGATGCAAGACAGAGACTTTTAGCAATGGTACCCAGTCATATGAAGTTAGACAGAACTACCAAAATTTAAAATACAGTGGAGCTAGCAATTACCAGGCATCAGAGCCCATTCTTACTCTTGCTTTAAACTGAAAATAATTTTGAATCCTAGATTACAGAAAGAGTATCAGACCTCAGCTGCTTTGTCAAAAGAAATGTTGTTTGAGGAAGTATCATCTCCTGTTTCATTGTTCCTCCAATCTATATGTTTCTTAATATCAAGAAAAAATCAAGCACTTTCTCTTGAGTTTCTACTTGTACAGCTATGACAACAACAATAATATCAGGCTATTTAAATAATGAATGGCATAAAATAGCATGTAAAAATGTTTGCTATTATCTAGTGGACAGGAAATCAACATATCTAAATTAGCTGATTTTGTTTCTGTGACGTTTCTGAGCTGCTAAATATTAACTCAACTCCTGCATGCTCTTTCTTTTCCATATAAAAGCATGATG